AGCGGCAGCAGCAAGCCCCCGCTGCCCCCGGTGCCCGCCGCCTATGACGGCTTCGACTCCTCCTTCCGCGGCTCCCTCAGCACCCTCGTCGCCTCGGACGACGACCTGTCGACGCACGTGGCCGCGCCCCTCTACCGCCCTCACAACGGCTCCCCGGCGTCCACGGCGGCGCTCGGCTGGGACTATCTGCTCAACTGGGGGCCCAACTTCGAGAGCCTGGTGGGCGTGTTCAAAGACATTGCGGAGCTGCCCGACTCGGTGAACGGGCGCGTGGCGTCGTCGCTGCGACTGCCCAGTTCCGCCCCCAAGCCCTCCGAAGAGTACGTGTGATCCGTGGCGAGAGGGCGGACAGGGCGGCTTTTTTACGCTTGCAACGATTGGTCCTATTCTGTTTGCAGAATTTTTTTGTAATTGTGTGCATGCTTTAGTGAACATTCTTTGTATGATACCAGACTGATGTATTTGGTGATACTGTCCTGAGGACTGGTTGCTTGTATGCAGTGAATCTTGTTTTGTACAAATTCCCCAGTGCTGGTTCCTCATAACCACGTTGGAGGCTGTCGTATCTCTGCCTTTCACTGAAAAATGGGGACTAGTAGTTCCTTGCCCCCGTTCCTCAGGGACTTTTCATTTATGCATCCATGCTTGGTGTACAGTAAGCAGTATGTGTGTCCTCAGTATGACCACTGTCCCATTAACTCATTATTCTGTAATCCATGCATCGGTGCCACCGCCTAGCGTTCTTCCACTTTTGGAAGAGTTTTCATCTCATTCAGATTCTTCTACATTCACCAACAGACAATAAATTTCTGCAGTCATGTTTGTCCATAAACTCTTAATCCTAGTCAGCACATTACCACCTCTTAGAAGACTTGTGCTCCTTCCCAGCACTGTTGATGGCATGCTGTTTTTGTTTGTTAGTTTGTTTTTAGTCTGCTCTATGAAAGGTGCCGAAGGCTGGGAGTTGGGACAAGAAACTGTTGCCACTGCGAGCGGGAGCCTCTCACGGCAGTTGAACAGGTTCTGTCTTAGCTCAGGTCTTTATTTGTAGGTTTGCATCACTGATCATTTCCTCACAGAGCTATTCATTTTATATTTCTTTTGAACAAGTGTCATAATTTCTGAAAAGAAACCTAATTAGGTATATACATATGTAGCAAATGTGTTGTGAAAATGTAATATACCAAGTTACACGTCAACTGACACAGAAGGCACGTTTACATGAGAACATTGGTGCCACGTATTAAAAATATTGTTAAATACTAGTGCACATCAAGTAAACCATACTAAGGACTTCGTGTGAGCTCATTTGAGAATAGTGAGTGAATTAGTGTGATTGAACAAAATAGAATGCTGAATTAGCCATGAACAATAGAGTGCCAAATCTTTTTACTTACTGTATAAGTGTGTCAGAATGAGGAAACCTTAAGCATCAGAGGTCCCGTTTATATACATCTTGTCATGTCTTTTGTCTTTTTACGTGTGAATGTATAAATATGATTGGATGAGATTGTATTAAAATGGTGAAACTTGAATATGTACAATTAAATTTTTTTTCAGCCTGTCATTCTGCATTCTTTACTAAAATACAGCTGTTGTTTTGAAATGAAGATATTAATGCTCATCAATCTGTACTTACAACACCACTATAAATTCACAAAATTTTTTTATTCAACTTAATAAAAGAAAACAATGATTTTCTTTGATCTCACTGAAATTATTGGTCAAATTTTGACATTTTGTCACAAGTGTTATTACTAGGGGATGGATTTTGATGACCTAAAACGTTCCTAAAAAATTATCAATAAAATGCTCTTAAAATGTTTTTAAAATGCCCTAAATGATGTTAAAAAATTTGATTAAAAACATTTAAGATGAACAATTCAATCTGTTGGAAAATTTACTGATGTAATTCTTCTTGCTTTTGTGCAATGTGAACTCAGCTTGCAAACATTTGGTTTGGACTGTTCTTTACCTTTCTTTAGTTATTTTGAAATTGGCTGAACTGATAATGGTGCTGATAGATATCATAGAAACCTTAGATTACATACATACAATGAGCTGAAATTACAATTCCTGAGCAAAGAAATCGAACGCGCTAATCAGGAATTCTGTAGAGAACATTTGTTGCATCTGGTAAATATTATTTGAAGCAAGTACCATTAAAACTATATTAAAATCGATGAAATCAGTGAAAAATGCTTTAAAAATGATGGGAAAAGGTAAAAAATAACTTATTAGTCAAAATGAAAAAAAAGGGTCATTTCCTTTAGTCATAATATAAAATGCATATCTGTACAAAAAAATGTTGTTCAAAAGTGAAAACCAAAAAATTACTTTTCATTAAAATCTGCTCCCTAGTTATAACAAAATGTTACAATATTTGTACACAGTGATGTATTATTATTTAATACGAACTAACAAACCTTCACACAAACATATTATTTTTGAAATCATGAAAATGAGAAATGTGATCTGTAAAGCAAACAAGTTTATGTTTCTTTGCAATGAAACTGTAAATTCATTATTCTCCAACCTTTGAAACTATACAAAAGACGCCCATACCTTTCTATCTTTTTGAAAGGAAAAATATTTGAAAAACCAATTGACCTAATTCCTGATTCATAATTCATTATTTGAATGAAGGATAATAATATTAAATATAGATGAAAACTTTGATGCAAACCATTCTCTGGCCACTATGTATAAGTTCCAGCATTAGAAGGTATCACATAAAACTAAACTAGTGGTGCTATAGAATGGCACAAACTTCCCTGTATTAGTTTTGTATTTCCTTTAATCTCTGCTAGTTACACAAACTTGCCACATACTCATGCCAGCTGCCATGTATCATAGTTCAAAGTACTTGTTTTTTAAAAATATATTAATTTTTCAGCTTTCTAATACCTAGAACCGAAATATTACTTTAAGAATATTAAAGAATCTCATCCTAAATGGCATTTTTCTTTTAAAAATTTTGTGCTGTTTTCAAGAAAATGGCACTTAAGTACTACTGTAAATTCGAAATTTGAAGCTGATTTTCACACAAAATTTTTGTTTCCAAAAAACTTGATTAGTAGTCATTTGAAGCACTTTAACTCACAAATACAATATTGGTTACAAATTGTTGGAAATGTGCATATTAACGATTAGAGAGATAGTTAAAAAAAAAAATTATATGTGTAATTTTTGAAAAAACAAGAAAATATCCCAAAATGAACTTTACTTCATATTAAAGAGTGGAATTATCTCAATCCATTTGAAAAGATTGAAGAAAAAATTGGAGCCCTTTTTGAGAGAATGGTGTTTGAGCATTTTTGAAAATGCAGAATTTTGATTTAGATTTCACAGAAAATGGTTGAGTTTTCGAGAAACTTTATATGATGTTATTTAAAGCACATGTACTCATAAATATAATTATGTTAACAAATTGCCGTGAATATACATATTAACGACGTGAGAGACCAGTCAAAAAAATTGTTTGTAATGTTTGGGATAAAAACAGCAATTTATGTCATCTTATAGAGTGCATTTAGCATTATCCCTACCAAAAGTATTAAGAACAATTTGGGAGCCGTTTTTAAGAAAATCTTGTTTTTGTAATGTTTTAAAATTGAACATATTCTATACAATACTATGCGAAAACTAAAACGTTAATAAAATGCATATGACCTAATAGAAAGAACTAACTATGGAGAACAAATGAAAAATCTCTATCTTTAATTTTGTATTTGTAGGAAGACACCCAAATTTTTGAAACTACAGAGTGAACAGTGAAAATTGAACCTATGCCACCTTTATAAGTGTATTTTACTCTATTTTTACACAAAATTTAGAGAAAAATATTGGAGCCATTTTTGAAAAAGAATTACAAAATTGTCCAGGTGGCTTCCTTTAAAGTACTCCCAAATTTGGAAAAAAGATTTCCGAAATTGCAACGCCTCCAGTTGAGCTAGATTGACAGGGGAATATCCATTTTTGGAAACAATCCAACATATGGTTTACGCGCTAGTGGTCTCCACAGGAGGTTTTGAAGAAAAAGAAGAAAGAAAAAAAGCATGAAAAAAAAAGTAAAAAGAAGACACACAAACTATTTCAATGTTTCTGGTGGAAATTTAACCAATTTATTTTGTAAAAGGACCATTAAATATTTGAATGTTAAAACATACTTTAATGTTACATATATATATATATATATATATCATGTTGCTCCAAATTTTCTTCAGTTCTATCTGATAATTATATGTTAAAGATATTAAAATGAACCTCCACACTCAACATGTTACATGTACATCCTCACCATAATCACCACCGTCTCCCACATTCTATTTGGAGAAGGGGATTCTTGATGACTATTCATTAATAAACCATTCAACACAGTAGATATAACAATATTGATTTAGTGAAGTAGTTTAGTTGGCCATTGACTTTTCAACAAATAATTCTACAAAACCACATGATCTTTCAAAATCTTCCCAAGCTACAGTAAAAACACTGCTTTAATCTTTTAGTGACCTTCACCTTGAAGTTTCTTGATCTCTTCAATTCCTGTGTCTTCAACAATGAAAAATTATCCTTGCTTTTTCCTTTCAAAACTAAAATTTCCTACATTTTACACTTTCTACTGTGCAAACACAAATAATGGTACTGTATGGTAGAGAATTGTGTATGTTTAACCCTAGCACTAGAAATGTTTATCCATTTGTGATCAGAACAATTCAGAATTATTCTGTAGTCTAGTGTCATAAGCTAGGTGTTATCCCTTATTTCAAAAATACATGTTGATAAAATTACTGTGAAGTTGGTTGCCTACTTTTAGAAAGGTTAAATCTAGTATCACTGGTGATACACAGCTATACAAATGCCTATTCACTTCCAATTTCCCTCTTATAAAATTGAATACACTTCTTGAGATAATTATTTTTTTAATGCAACTTCTTCTTCTCTTACAAGCATGATTACTTTGACAGTGCTTTGATATATGTAAAATATAATTGCGTTATTTTTGTTTAGTGTGCTTTTGAAGATCACTACATTACCCAAGTATAAAACATGTTTTCATGTATGTTTTTAAAAAACTGCATATTCAATTTATCATAAGTTGGATTCAAAATGTGGAATGTGTCTTTCAATTCTAAATAAATCGCTTGGAAAGTAATAGAATTTAGTATATTTGGTGGAGTAAGGTCTGACAAGTACATTTCAAATACTCTTGAAAATTGCATTATTAATAAAAGTGGGTTATAAACATTTTGCATTGTATTATAATAGCAAAATAATTTCCCATTATTTTTTTTTCTTCATCTTTTGGAAAGTGTAAAAGTGAGGTTGTACTGTAACTTGTTTTCAGAGACAAATGTCAAACTTCCTTATCCAACGATTACACTTCTCTCTCATAATTAACACAATACTGACTTTCATTAAAACTCACTGAAAACTTGCATGCTTTTTACTTTCTCATTCAGCCCAACATATTCTAATTGCCATTAGATTTGTCCAAGTCTAACTAGTAACCTGTTAACAATAATAGATCAAATCTCTGATAGACAGAAGATGGATATTTTCTGGCATAAAAACATCTAACTAGATGTATTTACAAATATTTAGTATGATCCGCACCTTCTTGAGCCCTCTTTTTGCTAGATGCAAGAGAAATGGGCGGTTTGATAATTTTGTCGACAGCACTATTATATCTAATCTGTAGCTCGTTTTTCAATGCAAAATAGTTTCTACTATATAAGAGCAAATATTCCTAATATCAAATGTCAACAACACTCATTTATATAATTTATTCTTAATACAACAAATGTTAGTAAAGGAATAGGGGTAGGTAGTTTAGTGCTCACGAAAACGTGCAGGTATAATACATGAAACCTAAAAGATATACACTAGTATCTAGAAGCTATAAACAAAAAAGAATAAATTACATTTGGAGGGAAAAACCTACATTATTTGTGTTTAATAATGAAGAGTATCATACATATATGATTTGAGGAAGAATTTAATAACAACGGAAAATAAATGAGCAAACATGTGAAATTATGAAAGTTACATGTTGGTCACTAGGAGATCACTTATTTTGTCACAGCTGGTCACCTAGTAATGAAAGCACAGTCCTGAATTTGGAGACCACCAACAGGATTGCTTCACGGCATGCTCAAAGAATTAGGATCAGCACGATAAAATAAAATTACACAAAATTACATATTTCATGTTATTTTTGTTCATTCCTTATACCTACAATTAATAAATATTGGATATAGTTCCATAATCAAATAACTATGAACGACTGTATTAGAAAATTAAATAGAGCACACTGCCAAATTCACAAAATGTTCTTTCTTTTAAATTCCTTTGATTGACAGCAAAAAAGTATTTAACTCAGGAAGATTAAAATTAACAAAATAAATATTAATTATATGTTTATAATGGAGGTCAAAATTGAAATTATTAATTGAAGAAACCAATACTTTTTTCACATTTCTTTAATAGCATTTCTAAAAATAATGTTAGTGATTTCATATCCTTGGATCATTCAGTACAAATCACTTGCTTGTTTACATATACAGTACATAGTATAAGTAATGTTTTCTTTTAAACTTCACAAATAAGAAGATTTCATCAGAAAATCTACATTTACATGAAATTATTTGTTCTCAATGCCATCTCATAAGACATTAATTGAGGTAAACATGGGTATTTCACACTAGGTAATACCAATCTGAGATCACTTTCCTTATCTTGGAGTTGTATTTATGTCAACATTTCTGGAACATTTGAAGGAAACTGAAAGTATCAACTTTCCCACAACACATCATGAATAATGCCCATGAGTTCATAGAAGATAGGTTCCACAAATTTTTGAACTTGGCCCTAGATGGAAGTGCTGTGACTGACTTCACATGCCTTCCACTCTGTCTCCCAAACAAAGACCCAACAGACTCCTTTAAGAGCAAACTGTCCTCAAGAAGGCATGGCCAAAGTAAAAATCATTGTCAGGATTCAAACCCCCAGCCCTTCCATTTCATAATCCAGTACATTGTCATCTGGATCACTAGGGCTTCACTACTTAAAAGATACTACACAAACTAAAAACATACATTTATTGAAAATTACACATACCAATATGTGAAAACAGGTATGGCCTCTTAAAGGCAATTGGGGGAATGATGTATTAACATAAACACATGATCCGCAATATTTTTATGGTATAACAAATATAAATGGAATATTTCACATTAATTTACAAATGGCTCTCCAATCACAAGATTTTGCTATTTCATATTACTTCACTTTCAGAAATAAAAATTAAACGAAAATTTTGCTTCTCAAATCTATTTTGTATTTCTTCAACAAAGCTACAACCCAATGAAGGCCTGGGTTGCTTTCACAATTCTGTAAACAGGAAGTATATTAATTTTGGAATCTGAAGCAACATCATACTACTTCATCAGCATGAACAACTGATTTATTTATTTGTAAGAAATAGTTTTTAATGAGTTAAATGTTTTATTAATGCAGTGGTTTATGCATGAATTTTCAACTGGGGTGTGTTTACAAAATTTTTACGTCTTAATGTACTTCAATAAGAGCGCAATAAAAAAGATTGAATACAATAAATAGTTCCTCACGCTCTTTCTTGGTGCTCCAGACATCCACACATTACTAAATTTTTTGACATGGATTGAGTACCCATGTCATCAGACCAGAGGCAGACCTTTTTTTCTTACATTGTGAAGCACAAAATTGGATTGCTGCGTATCGATAGTTTAAAAACTATTCCATTCTGAAGCTACTATCTCTATTAGATTTACAATGTGACCAATACATGGCATGGATCATCATAATTTATCAATTTTCAGAATTGATGACATCACAATAAAATTACCCTACTTTGTAAAGTTTTGGGCCAAGTTTTTGCCTAGTGCTCAAATGTGCCACAGCCAGACCAGCAGTATTCTTTTCACTTAAGTCCACAGACTCTGTTCACGAATTATGAAAGGAGGTACCAATATTAACATTCTTGTGCTCACATTGGGAAGAAAAGGCGTGTTGTTGACTTCATCCCATACGGTATGGTAGTTAAAATACTGAGCTGTGGTACCACATCCACAACAGGCAGACAGGTAAAGCACTGTATTGATGTTGCACAAAGTATTTTATAGGGTTAGGGCAACATACTAGTGATAACCCTCCTTTCAGTGATTTTATGATGCTAGATGAAAAATAAAATTCTTGTAAAGCCAGACATGTCTGAGATTCTGAATACATTTCTTGCTTATTTTCTGTAAATAATGTAGTTCTACGAGTACATTTGCAGTGTTTTTACTTTCTTGTATACATTCATATATACACATAGCATAGCGAAAGTTATGTAATACTACGGAAAATCTATTTTGAGATTGCAATGGAAACATGCATTTTGGGATCCCCCGATGCTGATTTTTCCCAAACTGAAGGCCACCCTGTTGATCTCGCTCAAGTGGAAGCTTTGAGAATTTTCAAAATATTCTTTAAAACTCAGGGGTTACTTTACAAGCTCCTGGGACACTTTCAAAATTCTCTCTGCATTTTCAAAAATTGCAAAAGATTGAATTTTTCTGGCACCTGCCTATTACTACAATAATGTTAGTGAGACCTCCATATTAAAAGGTAATAAAAGTTTGACAATGTAATCCAATAAGTTTGCCTTTCAAATCACTAATTTGCCTCTCAAATTCATAAGAATCACAGAGATTTTATAATTTAACTCTGCTAGTTAACCAATCAAGAGGCAATTTTCTGAGACAGTTTGCTAAACATGATAAGTCTACTACCTACGCCTTGCCCACATAAACTGATCAGTGATTTAATGGATAGATGATCCAGAATATAGACAATATCAATATGAATGAATGAATGAGAGTAATGTTAGAATGAGAAGCAGGGAATCCAAGAAAACCTGCATTGTCCACCAAACATTACATGTGGAATTTAAACACTAATACCTGGAGACAGAAAGCTAACACCCTGGCAGCTAAGTTACAGTTTATCCTACTTAATACTTAGGTCAGAGTCAGGAGTGCACTTTAATGAATGATAAAAATGCATCTGTTGCCAAGTTTACAGATATGAATGGGGCATGGCACATGAACACACTGCACAACACCCATTGTGCTGTACTAGTGTGCCTGAGTCTTGAGGTCCATGAAAATACAAATGATGTAACATCCATTATGTGATGCTCATGTGTCTTTAGCATTAATAGCATAAAAACTGAAAAGTTGCTACACTAGCCTTTCCCAATTTTTGTACATGTCATCTTTTAACCATATTTTATTTTGACAAATGTTTCCAAATGCATTGATTTTGCAAATCTCATGTCATCAACAGAAAGTACATAACATTAATTAATTGAAATACTAGTAGTATGTCACTACAAAAATATTTTATGACAATTGAAAGTAAAACTAATTATCAGTCTTTATTACCCCTGATTGGAGAGCACTGTGTTCATTTAAACTAAAATATCAGTATTTATCCATTTTATGCATTCATTGTATACCATCAATATAACGCATAAATAACAACACAAAAGACGAATTCATAATTTTATTGAAATTTTAAGGAGTTCATTCTTTGAACACCTTCGTATTTTTCATTACTATTATCTTATTTCCATTCACAAATGATATTTTGTGTTTGTTTCATTGAGGTACAAAACTAAATGATTGAAAATCATTATTTGAACTCTCAAATACAAAAGTAAAATACAAAATTGCATTTTTCACCTCACTAAAATACGAATATTGTGTAAGACACTTCATACACATTTACACATAAGTTAATCACAACAAATGAGCTGATATATTTAAATCAGGAAGTGCCCAATAGTGATAGGTTTTGCATTCATCTAATTACATTTATTAATACATATATTTTTATCACAGACCAAGACAAGAACATACTATATAAACACACAAGCAAATTCACGGGAACTGTTTTTTCTAGGCTATTAAATCTAACATTTTGGAAATAACATTTACATATTTTACTTCACTTACTATCATAATATAAAGTGAAAAATGTACAAAACTATTTGGTCCTCATCAACAAGTACAATATCTACATCCGATTTGGAACATAAAATACGTATGCTTATATACACCGTTTTCGTTAGATAGAAAATTCAGTTCTGAAGATCTTTTATTAGTGGACACTAGTGTTTTTCCTCAGATCTTCTCATGTCTTTTAGACAACTGTACAGGAGTTTATGGTGATCTTCCATATATGCTGCCAAAGAATCATAAATTTTTGACAAACATTTTTTTCTGAATGTAAGGCTGTCAAATACTCTGAGTCAGCCCAGGGCTTCCATAGGAAGCAGTGCGTCCTCCTGAAGATCTGATCAAACCTTCCTCATCACTGTGGAAGCCCCGCTTGCTTTCTCGGTGGGGAATGATTAACTCACGTTTTGGACGCAACATGCCTTGAACATCAGACAAAGAAACATCCATATCGCGAAATGCATTCAGCAGCAAAATTGCAATAATTACAGTGAAAAAGCCGCAGAAATTGCCAACAATATCTTGATTACTTAAATGTTGCCATTCTCTGAACAGTATCGCAGATGCAGTAATCACAAGTGTGGTAAATAAGACATAATACACTGGGGTAACAATACCAGTATTAAAAAGATCCAAAGCCTTATTCAGATAATTCATTTGTACAGTAATACATATAACAACAGTAATAAGGAATGCCCAAGTAAGCCAATTCCCTAACTCATTAGTTTGTCCAGTAAGAGTTTCCTTTATAGCAAGTCCAAGACCTTTACATCCCATCACAGTCAGAGATCCAACAGCAGAGCAGAGTGCAATGTACACAACCACATTTCGATGACCGTAGCGAGGTCCCACATAAAATGCAATAGCCAGGAAAGTCATCAGGACAAGCATTACATACACAATGAAACCTGTGAAAAAAACAGTGAAGCATGTATTAGAAATTGTTTGAGAATAAAAAATTGCATCAAACTTAATAATCACGATATTAGCATGTTTAACTTTGACACTGTAACAGAAAGATTTTTTTAAGTTGTTATAAAGTTAATGTACAAAATTTGTACGCAAATAGTAATAAAAATTAAATTTACAATTCACTACACACACATTCAATTTCATTTCAATACATGATAAACACAATAAATAAGATTATAAAAAGCACTAAGATCTACGATAATATTTTGTAGTGATTGGAAATTAAATTTGTCATCTCCATCAAAATATTATCCTTATAATCACACAGCGCAAGACCATCACTGGTCACAGCTCAGTATTAATTTTCATAATAATAAGTACATGGGCAACAACGGTGTAAAAGATAATACTGATCATAATCCCTACAATACGACACAACACAACAGTATTGGACAAAATGCAAGACTCTAGGTCTCATAGAAAGCCTGGAAGTTTTGATCTTGGTTTGTACTACATAAGGTGATGAGAAATCACTATGGATCTCATCAAATCATGAATTTTTAAATTACTTCTGTCATCATCTCAGTAACTCATTACTACCTGATGGGATACAAGCCAAAAACCTTTGAGAAATCTGAAGACTTACTTAAGGCAGATACAGTGAAAACTAAGACTGGAACTAGAATATCACAAAAAGCATTAGTTCTCTATTCTGTGTGGCAAGAAAGGCAGAGCATGGATGTTTAACACTGTAACTCCCACATAAAACTTGTAACTAAGCTTCGTTTTCTGAAACTAATTTCTTAACAGTAGTGTTTAATATTATTTTATTCTTATTCATGTAGTGGATTTCAGACATGCATTTGTGATTGCGATGACACTGGATTGTACTCCATAATCCTCCCAATACTTTGGTTCCCCTTGAATTGTCTACATTACTATAGCCTCCTTAGTTTCAAAAGTGAACGGTTTCCTAATCTTTCATAAAATGTAATTTTTGTGTTTATAAAATGAAGTTTGCAGCAATTGTATTGCACATAACTTGGATGTATGATCATTCCTTATAAAAGCCTCTAAAAATGTTGCCGAAATTGGTGTGCATGACTTATAAAACTTTTATATCAGACTACTGAACCCAGACGTTCTGCCCTTATCTCTCTCCCTCCCCCTCTCACTTTCATGGAGATGAACCCCTCCCAACTTCATGCTGGTAGACATGCCAACTTGAGCTTAACGTTTAAGATTGGTGACTAGAAGAGATAAAGAATGGTGGTTGTTAAATTGTCACGTCACTGTCATTGTCACGTTATTAACTTTTATAAATGTAATTTATTGAATACTTTTTCACTAATTATTCAGGGTATTTTCTCATCAAAGTTTCTTTTTGACTGACGTACCTTGAAATGATCTTGCAAAATGCATAGCACTTTTGCTCTTCATCTATAGTCAGATGTACATAAAAATCCAACATTATTTTAAAACCACTTTCAGCAAGATTGCTAACTGCATAATATCGCTACATCTTATGAACTCTTAATATCTCTTCTTCTTACTGAAAATATCTCTACTTCTTATGAACATAAAGTCAGATATTTCATTCTCTCAAATGACTGAAGATTGAGTTACAAGAAGTATATTAATGTGCACTTATATTGAAACAAAATTGTACTTACAAAATAATTTGTCATTCATTTCTCCACTGGGAGTAATATGCCTCCTCTCCATAATTAAGTTTTTTCTGAAGAAATTTGTTGTAATTTTAAATTTTGTTTTTTATAACAAAGAATTGTAAAGATGAAAGTTCCTCAAATAAATATGAAAAGTTCTAACTTTCAATGCTACTCTAAAAATTAATGCATCAATTTTTTCATAATATTTCAATGATTTTAGGAAATTGAGCTCAACAGGTACTAAACTGCATTTGAACTAGTGTTTAACATGAATTGTTATAGTGAAAAGAGAATTCTCTCTCAAAGAATGCTCATGCTTAACTGTAACAGTAGGCACAAAGGCAATACTCACATAAGTAGACATGCAAAGTATAGAGTATGCCACATCAGTTGTTCAGTAAAGGTGCAACAAATATACAACTCAACACTTTCCATTACCTCATTAAATACAAAAAAGTATTTTATGAGAATATTTATACAAATACTATTTTTTTAACCAAATAACACAAAACAACAATAAATTCATGGCTTTTTATAATGTTTAGTCTACTAATTCTTCACAATTTTTTTTGCAGTGTGGTAGAAAATTTGCTTTCCAGGGACGTGAAGTAGAGGATGAGGAGAAAGAAGAAGATGAAAACTATGAAGGAAGGAAAATACTTGTTTTTTTCTTTCTGCACAATTTGTTTTTGATAATAACTTTGGAAAAGTTTTCTCCTTTATTTTCAGATGAGTCTTTATACACGTTTCACACTATTGCGACCACACTTTTGAAAAATTTTCGATTCCATATCAGATGAGTCATCATCAAACCATATTTCTTCAACAATTTTCAAGAACTCAGGATCAGAGGATTCGTAGGCTTCCACAGTATCAGTATCAGTTTTTTACTTTACCTATGTAAAATTACAAAAAAGTGGCAGGGTATTTGGATGAATTTCAAATGTCATTTCATCTCTAAGAAAGTTATTCTGTTCTTAAAAGAGTGTTATTAATGATAAGCTTAATTTCTATTACAAATTGGAAAATTATAAATCTAACATGAAGTGTATGGCATATGGAGTACATCAAGATGCAAGAGTACAAAAAAGTAATGCCGCACGGTTAACCAGACAGGAAACTACACGAGTTGCAACAACACACACTTTCTCGCAGTTATTTATACATTTTGTAATTTTCATGTAAGAAAAAATCTACCTTTAGTATTGAACTACTGAATCAGTTATCTGCAATTTTGGAAAATACAGAGTTTGCCGAAAGCGAGACCAGCACAGCGTTTTTAACCCTTTTAACACATGAAGAAAATTCTTGGAGCTGTTATTGAGAGCTTAATCGTTTTAAAATTGCCCATATCACATGCAAAAACTACAAATATTTTCAAAAAATTGTACTTTACATTTAGTTGAAATTCTTTGAACAACATATTTCAGTAAGGAAACTTGTGGTGCTAGAGAACAGCACAGACATTCTCATAGTAAAGTTTTCTAACTTCCTTAGTGTGGACTGGCTTTACGTTCTTGCTCCATCCTCTTGACAGCTGCTATCTATCGCTGCCCAAAGTTTGACATTTTCTCTATTTTTTTGGTATCCTAATAGTAGAACCAAAATATTACTTTAATATTAAAGAAGAGTTCTCGTTATAAATGTATATTTTCATTGTAAAATGTGGAGCCGTTTTAAAACAATGGTGTTATGTGTTACTGTAAATGCCAAATTTGAAGCTCTTTTCACAGAAAAGATTTGAGGGTTTCGAAAACTAGATAAGTAGTCATTTGAAGCAATTCTACTCACAAATGCAAGGGTTTATAAATCACTGGAAATTAACAGCATGAGAGATACTTAGAAAAGTTACATTTGTGTGATTTTCAGGGGGGAGGGGGGGGGGGAGGAAAACTGAAATGTATATAATATCAAATAGTGCAATTACCACTACCCATTAGAAAAGTTTCAAGAAAAATTTTGGAGCCATTTTTGAGGAAATGGTGTTTGAGCATTTCTGAAAATGGAGAATTTTGAGTTCATTTTAACAGAAAACTGTTGAGTTTTTGAGAAACTTTATATCACATAATTTAAAACACATTTACTCCAATACAATAATGTAAACAAATTGCTGCTAATGTAAATATTAACAACGTGAGAGACAAGTAAAAAAATACATTTTTGTAATTTTTGAAAACAAAAAACAAAATAAAGCATTATGGCCTTCATGTCATCTTATTGAGAGTGCATTTAGAACAATCCCTAACAAAAGTTTAAAGAACAAATTTGAAGCCGTTTTCGAGAAAATCTTGTTTTTGTATTTTTTTTAAAAATAAAATTGCACACATTTGACCCAATATTGCGCGAAAACTACTAAAAGTTTTAAAAAAATGTACATGGCCTTAAAGAAAGAACCAATGGACTGGATAACAAATTTCATTTGAAGGAAAAATCTCTATCTTCAATTTTGTATCTGTAGGAAGATGCGGAAAAAAATACTTTTGAAACTTTCGAACCGGGTCAACCCTGAAAATCGGACCTATACCACCTTTATAAGTTTATTTTACTCTATTTCTACAAGAAATTTCAGGAAGAAAATTAGAGCCGTTTTTGATGGATTCCTGTTTTGCTCAGTAATTGCTCCAAAATTTCTGAGAAAAGAATATTTAACTCCACGTGTTCTGGTCCAAATACAAAGAGGCTCAGACAAGGCTCACAGACCCAGTGCGACCGTCCTCTCAAATCCGAAACTGATGTGGTCGGCGAACGTTGGGGCAAGCACAGAATGTTCCGCCGCTCAAGAAATGGCGAGTGGCGCTTCCACACCTTTCGGTGAGCAGTAACCGCCTTAACACTTCAATTCACTCTTTCTTACAACTGCAGTTACTTCAACACTGACACGCTCAATACACGTACGCTTTGTCTAAAGCTAAAACTGAATTATGTTGGGATTATTCGTTGAAGGAACCATTGAACGCAGTTTATGATGATGCTGACGAAAAGACAAAATTTATTTTTCTCAAAGCTTTCATTTAACTTTAGATAAGATGAATTTAACTGCTAAAGAGTACAATTTGGTGGCAGTATTTTACAAATAAATGAGAATGAATATAATATGAACGGCAATGATGATGATGATAATAATATTAAATAATAATAATAATAATAATAATGAACCGAGCGAAATGGCTCTGTGCGTAGCGCCCTGACAGCGCAGTCGGGAGGGCCAGGTTCGATTCCCGGGTAGGCCATTCTGACCCGGGTTTTCGTGGTTTACTTCGGTCATGTATTGGGATGGTTCCAAAGGCCCAAGGTAAACTCTCCATCCAACACACACAACTCTCCTC